CAGCAGGACTCCAGCTGGGGGCACTGGGTCCTCACTGGCAGTGGGTAGAGACAGAGACGGGCCCGCCCCACAGCCAGACCCATGGGCAGCCGAGCTGGGGCTGTGCGCCACATGGGCTGCAAAGCTGCCCTTACCCAAGGCTGTTAGAGGGTGGGCCGCTGGTGTGCGTGTGCGGGTCTGTGTGTGTCCCCAAGGCCCCATATGTATCTGTTTGTGTGGGCCTGTGTGTGTGTGTGAGGGTGTGTTAGTGCATATCCTGAGGGAAGGGGCTGTCTGCTGCCATCTCTGTCAGGGTGTGCGTGTAAGGGAATGACAGCGTGTTCACGTGTGTGTCTGGGACCCTGGGGTCCACGCCCCTGCGTGCTGCTCTCCCAGGCTCCACATGTGCACTGCATGCCACGAGGACCTCTGGGTGTGGCTGCCTGGCTTGGCTGCATACCTCCGTCTCCCGGGCACACCCGCTTCTGGGCTGCTCTGCAGTTGGAGGGGAGAGGAGCAGAGAGGAGGGACACTTCCGACCCCTGGAGCTGGCCTAGCTCCTGAGTGGGGAGCGGAGCGGCCAGACCCCCTCAGAATAATGACAGCTCTGCCCAGCTCAGGCCAGCTGTAATTCCAGAGCCAGCTTCAGTCCTGGGCCCAACTGGGAGGAAAGGGGGGCAGCCCCCTGCAGCGGGGGGTCTGCAACTGGCCCTTTCCTGCCCGCCTTGGAGCCCAGCAGACGCGCCCCCCTCCATGCCCACTCCCTGGGAGGCGTCTGACACATGATTTATTCATAAAAAGCCATTATTTGTGCCAAACAAGAACTGCGCTGCTCTGCTCATTTTTTTTAAGTGCTGATAATGCTCTCTGCCTCCTCTCTCCTCCCCTCCCACCTTCACACTCCCCTCATCTCCTCTCTCACCTCCTTCAGATCCCCCTCCCAGTCCCTCTCCTCCTCCTCCTCCTGTCTTCTCCCTTCCCTTCCCGTCCTTTATTGTTCTCTGCTCTCCACTCCTTCCTGCTCCTCCCCACTTCTCCTCAGGAGCCTGTCATTAGGGGAGGCAGGCAGGGTCTGGAGAAGTTCAGAACGGTTGCCCCATATTGGGGGCTGGAGCTCAGGACCCCTCCCTGTCTTCCTCTCCTCAGGACTAGGGGGAGGAGGCTGAAACAGGCGGATAAGGGGGTGGGGGAAAGGCAGACTTTGGCACTCCCATTACTAGCTGTGTCCCCCAGACCCTAACTAAACCTGCGGTGTGACTATCAACTGAGCTCACCCTGCAGCCAAAGGTTCAAGGCCAGCCGCTTACGGCCTAGATGTGTCCCTAGCCCCACTTCCCCCATAGAGAAATCTTTATTCCAGAGATGTTGGCATCAAGGGAGGTCCATGGGGCCCTTTGACAGAGCACCCTCTGTTTCTTGAAAGAAGTCCCCCAAAGAGCAGGCCCACCATGGCCAGTGAGGGCCCGGCAGACATCCTAGCCACAGATGCTGGGTGCAAAAACACACACCCCTAGTCACGTAGACAGACTTGAGCCAGGCCTGACTGCTTCCTGAAGGGCCTCTTCCCCGAGCACCTGCAGCCGGGGCTGTACCTCTTTCCCTGGTCAGGCAGGAGCCAGACACCTGTTCCTTCCTTCAGCCAGCCATCACTCTGTGCACTTTGCTCACGCCCCCCTCTGTGCCAGGCCTAGTGCTGGAAACTGGGGAGGCAGAGTGGAACACGAATGGGCCCTAGGGAGGGGGACATAAGCAGAGGGGGTGCTGCAGGTCTGCCCCTCCAACCTTGCACTGGGGGCTTAGCAGGCGAGGGGTTAAGTCATTTGGCATCCGGATCTGGAGCCATTAGGCCTCCTAATTATGAAATTATCGAGGTCCTCAGGTGACTGCTAATTTCACACACACTGTTCCTCTCACGGCTAATGAACGCCCGCAGAACCCACGCCTTGTCTTTCCTGCTGAACGGTGACCTGCAGCTAATGAGCTCAGGAAGGCAGACTGGCCGCCGGCTGGGTGGGTGGGGCGCCAGGCCTGAGGAGTGGGCTACTCCTCCCTGCTGTCCCTCCTGGCTGCCAGCCCCCAGAAATGGAGGGCCAAAGCCCAGCCCGCACTTATTGCAGGCCCACGTGAGGTGAGGGGGGCGATTCTTGGGAGCAAGGGGAGGGGTGCAAGTTTGGGGAAGGACTGGCTGCAGAGATGGTGTCTGCTTGGGTCTGTGGCCACATCAGAGAGGTTGATTAAGGACCAGAGGGTACTGACAGCATAGAATGGGAGTGGGAGGGCACCGTGCCCTGGTGCTGTGAGGGGGATGCTATGTGTCAGCTGCCTGGATTGGGATGTAGCTGCTGCTGCCCCTTGTGAGGTTGGTTTTTTTTTTTTAATGTTTTGCATCTTTTTAAAATGAGAGGAGTAACCAAAAAATGTCTTCTGAAAATATGGGGAAGGAGAAGGAAGCCGTGCAGGGTGGCTGTAGCTCTAGGTAGGGGCAGTTCAGGAGTCCAGGTCTGGGAGTCATCCTCCCCCAAGTGGGGACACAGTGGCCTTCTGGCTGAGCACCAGGTGGCCTTGGAGCCTGACCAGGTGCCCCTGGGGAGAACCCACCCTGACCCGTTTCACCAGCTAGTCAGTGCCAAGTGAGTGGCAGTGCGGCGGTAAGGGGAGCAGGAGGTGAGCTGAGCGAGGTGGCCTGGAAGGCAGGGGGCCTCTGCGCTGTCCTTGGGTG